TAAATATTTATATAAATTTATATGATTTTTTGAATAATCGGGATAGATTACAAGATAATATTTATTAATATTTTTCTTAATCATTGACAACGCATATACACTGAAGACCAAGTTGCTCGAACCCAAGACCTCGAGGGAGAATAACATTCCCTTTAACCACAGAAGACAATAAATTTAAGTTCCATGAAAAATTTAAAAAGAAAGTATAGAAGCATGATAAAACTTTAAATTTACAAAATATAATTTTAAATTGTTAATTTGGGTGAATTAAGCCTATAATTTGTTATTTTGCTTAATACATACGTCAGGCTTTTATCAACTTCGTTTGGCAAATCTTAATTGTCGTAATTTATAGGTTTATAATATAAGTATTAAATTTGATGAATATGTGGGTAAGACATCACTATCAAAGCCAAACTCTGCATATGGAATCAACTTAAAATAAATTCATTCTTTTTAATGTGTTGAAATATAGCATTTTATATGGACCAAATTAAAATTAATTATAAATGTTGTACTAATATCGAAATTTTTGGATTGTCTTGTAGCAAGATATACTTTAAATTATATTCAAGTCGCCAAAGCTATAAAGCACATATTTATCTACAATTTGATAAATTGTTTTAATACACTCAAAGATGATAATAAATCGGATAACTACAATTTTTATAAAATCTAAATATGAATCCACAATATACTTTAAAACCCAAGTTCATATGTTATTCGCATTAAATCCAAATATTACTATCTAAATCTGAATTAATTAAATTATCCACTAAACATATTTAGTAAATATAAAAAATTAAATAAAAATTTATAGAGAAAATCGAATTATGGATTCACAACCATCTTTATATATACTCCATGTTAGATTTAAACTAACATTTAACACATGAATTTACAACTAGTTGATGGAAGGACCTAATTGACATGATTACTCATACTTTTTAGGATTTAATTAAAAGATAGTTTTAAGGACTAATTTAAAATCTAGACGATAGTTTGAGACAGATTGGTTAAATTAACCACAAATAAAACATACTCGTTACTTTTGAAAACGGCGGCCGGCCGGAGGCGTTATCGAAGTTAATATAAATACGACTGCTTTGGCCCACCCGGCGTTTTACGCTTAGCTTTAGAGTTGCAGCCGCTACTTACTCTATTAAACGCGCTGATAATTTCTTCTTCTTCTTTTTTCCAGGTATTTATTCTTAGGCCAAAATATGTATTTAGTCATCTAATTTTTAACAAGTTTCTATTTTGATCACTTAACTTTTATTCTTTTAGGTTACTCTATCGTTAAGTCTTTACTGTCGTTTATTTTTTACGTTAATTTGTGTAAAAACCCTAAAATTTTCTTTCAAATTCGAACGATGAGTCAAGAAGGAGAAGAAAATCAATATATCTAGAATTCACACTGATCAGACGATGAAACCGTTGATCAAACAAATATGACATTGAACATTGATTTGAGTTTTGTTGGTTTCAAAGAAAACAAAATTGAGAAGAAGGAAAAGGGGACAAATGATATTATTTTGGTATTAGTTACATCGCAAAGGATGGTTAATTGCAGTTAAATGATGGCGGAGAAGGATGTTGACCGTAGAGAAAAAGAAGGTTAAAAGTTTAGGCCAATTTAACAACAACAAAAAAATTCAAAATGTACCATTTTAGTGCTATCGTTAAACACTTAACGGTCTAATGATTAAAAAGAGCGAAATTTGAGAGTTTAATGATAAAAGTAAGAACTTTAGAAATTTGGTGATAAAAAACAGAAACACACTAAAAAATGGGTGATTAAACAAGTAATAATACCCTTATTCTTTTCTACTTATTGAATTCATCTTCTAAATGACATGCGCTGTGGAATTTGATTAATCATATCATTATTCATTCCTTCCTCTTCACACTTTGCTGGATGTCATTTTAATATCAATTTTCACTAAGAACATCTTTTATGAGCCAATAAAAGTTGGTTGAGTTAATAAAAAGTGGAATACTTCACTTACAGATTCTAATTTAAAATTAAACACAATTTATTAAATATTAAAAAGAGAGCATTTTCCATTAAGAGTAGAAGTAGCAGTCATTGTAAAACAATCAAATAAAAAGATATACGATAATAATGATAAAAGAAAGGGTCGGGGTAATTAATTTCATAATATATAGTTCGGTCCGACCCTGACTAATATGCATGCAAGAACAAGAAGAAATTGCATTATTTCCTTGTCTAATCTGCTATTCTCTTCTCATTCTCCTAGAACCATGTGTATTGGTGCATTTATTTGGCAAGCTCATCCACTCTATCCTCTTCTTCTGATACAAAACAGAGATGAATACCACAACAGGTATCTTCTTCTTCTTCTTCTTCTTCCTCCTCCTCCTCGAATATCTTGTTAATCTGTGGGTGGTATGGCATTGAAGGCCTACTAAGTCATTGGCATGGTGGAACGTTGATGGTTGCGAGATACTGGGAGGAAGAGATGAAGTTGCAGGAGGGACATGGCTGGCATGCACGAGACAAGGCAAAGTAGCTTTTCTCACCAATGTGTTGGAGCTTCATCCCCACCCCGACGCCAAGACCCGAGGCGATCTGCCTCTACTTTTCTTGGAGGTAAAATTGATTTCTTCTTTCATTTTGTTGAACCAAACCTCACAGCTAACAACGATGGCTGTTGTTGAAAACAGAGCACCAAGAGCCCCATGGAATTTGCCCACCAACTGGCCGCGGATGCTCATCGATACAATGGATTTAACCTCATAGTGGCTGATATTCCTTCCAAATCAATGGTTTACATCTCCAACAGGCCAACGGGGGAGCCCATTGCCATCCAACAGGTTTCTCCGGGCCTTCATGTGCTCTCAAACGACAAGCTCGACTCACCCTGGCACAAGGCTCAGCGGCTAGGTAAAGGCTTCAAACAAATGCTGAACCAATATGGTAAAAACGAAGTAATGATAAAGGAAATGGTTGAGAAACTTATGAAGGACAAAGTGAAAGCAGATAAAAGCAAGTTGCCCGGCATTTGTGCTCTCGACTGGGAGTTCAGCCTTAGCTCTGTCTTCGTTGAAGTGGACACCCCACTGGTAAAATCCCCACTTCCTAATAAACAATGCCAGTAAACAAACTGTCCTCCAATTATATGATGCTGTTTTGTTCAGTTCATTGACTATTAAAAATTACAAAATAGTCACTTGATTATTCATATATTCTAAGTTCGTCATTTTTTGGTAAAAAATTAACCCTCGTATGAGTTGGACGTTAACATGTTGACTGAGATATGATATTCATTTAAGATTTTGGGATCAGATTTTAGCATATCTCAGTCGACATGTTAATGTCCAACTCAAACTGACGTCAATATTTAACGGAGTCTGAATCATTTGAATAATCAGGTGGATCATTTTGTAGCTTTCGATAGTCGATGGACTCAACAAAGCAACGCCTTATAATTAAAGGATCATTTTGTAATTTTTAATAGTTAGAGGACTTAACAAAGCAACATCCTATAGTCGATGGACCATTTGTATATTTTACCCAATATTTTAAACGTGCAATACTTGTGATAAAATCGGAAAAATACTCTGTAGATATCTTTTTATCTCCCTATCTCACGTCTATAAAAAGGGATTTTCAAAAAATAAAATTAAAAAGGGATGTTCATTTGTAGTCATTTTTACTCTTTCTATCGTAATCTCTTTTCACTAATAATCATATTTTTGAGTCTCGGTTATCATTTTTACCACTAGAAAAAACAATAAACTAAATTTTAATTTTTTTCTTTCGAATGTACGAATTAAGAAATATTATATTAATCTTGAGAAACAATCATTTACTTTTACAATTATACCGGTGGAGATGAATTCATGATGTTGAAGGTGATAAAAAGTGTGGTTGTTTCCACCTGCACAGGGGCTTTACGGCACGAGGAGTACGGCGGCATTGGCGATACGTGCCGGTGGGGAGGTTAGCTTTTATGAGAAATATCTTGAAAAGGGTGTGTGGTTTGAGAGAACCATTAACTATACCATCAAGTAGATTCAATACATGTCGCCCAAGCAAGGAATTCGAGTGCTCAAACTTATATATTTATTTGTGTATTTTATAAGAATTTTAAAGTTTATAGTGATGAACTGATGTATTATTATTGTCTGTCTGCTTGCTTAATCCAATATCAATACAAGAAATGGAAGCAAACGTATTATTACAATTAGGGTTAATGTACCTTTTGCCCCATGAATTTGGCTTTATCTATAATTTGACCCCCGACTATCTGTTAAAAGCAATTTGGTTCCTGAATTTGGTTTTGATCTATAATTTAGTCCCTACCTTTTTTAACATAGATTTATCTTTAGTTAAATATTTGGATTTATTTAAAAAAATTAAAATATATATCTTAACACTTTAAATAATTTTTAATTTATAAATAAAAACTTAATTATTATTTAAAATTAAAAAAATATTCAAGAACCAAATTGCATATCAAAATTAAAGTCAACGCCAAATTGCACTAAAAAAGGGATCCAAATTGCATATAAAAATTAAAGTCGGTGCCAAATTGCATTAAAAAATAGGGTCCAAATTGCAAAGTTAGGAGCCAAACATATCAATAAATCCTATCTCCTCGTATAAATGACAGATCTAATAAAAACCGAGTAAAATGTTTTTTTATTAATCTAGTGTGGTTACAAATTTATTTAAAAGAACAATTATCCTCTTAATCACATAGATGACTTGACTTGTATATGTGCGTATAGTTTTTAACCATCTTTATCTAATACAAAGAAATAATACAATAATTTTTTAAAAAAAGATAATGCACTTCAAACTTCCAAACGTTTGATGTAATTATTGCTTTGAATCATTCGTCAATTATTGTGATGGCTTTTTATTACTTGTTACAATCCTATTCTTTCAAAACAATACAAATTGCAGATTTTTCTCCTCTTGTCTGCTCTTTCCTTGTTTCGTTGCATGCTCTTATCTCTCTTTATAGAGTTGAACCAATTCACTCAAACCCAAACAATTGAATACCATGTGTATTGCTGCTTTTGTTTGGCAAGCTCATCCACGCTATCCTCTTCTTCTGCTACATAATCGAGATGAATACCACAACAGGTATCTTCTTCTTCTTCTTCTTCTTCTTCTTCCTCAAATATCTTATTAATCTATGGGTGGTATGGTATTGAAGGCCTACAAAGGCATTGGCATGGTGGGATGTTGATGGTTGCGAGATATTGGGAGGAAGAGATGAAGTTGCAGGAGGGACATGGATGGCATGCTCCAGACAAGGCAGAGTAGTTTTTCTCACCAATGTGTTGGAGCTTCATCATCTTCACCAAGCCAATACCCGCGGGGAACTCCCTCTACTTTTCTTCAAGGTAAATAAATCTCTATCTTCTTTCTTTCCAATGATGCTGGTTCATTAAAACTATTGATGTTGATAAAGAGCACAAAGAGCCCCATGGAATTTGCCCACCAACTGGCTGCCGATGCTCATCGATACAATGGATTTAACCTCATTGTAGCTGATATTCCTTCCAAATCAATGGTTTTTATCTCCAACAGGCCAATGGGGGAGCCCATTGCCATCCAACAGGTTTCTCCAGGTCTTCATGTGCTCTCAAATGCCAAGCTTGACTCACCCTGGCCCAAGGTAAAACACAAAAGGAAAAATGAATTCTTCCATTCTTCTTCACTTTTCACTAATGGAAGATTAATCATTTCACACCATGCAGGCTCAAAGACTAGGTAAAAGCTTCAAACAAGTACTGAACAAATATGGTAAAAACGAAGTAATGGTGAAAGAAATGGTTGAGAAACTTACGAAGGACAAAGTGAAAGCTGATAAAAGCAAATTACCCGGCATTTGTGCTCTCGACTGGGAGTTCAACCATAGCTCTATATTTGTTGAAATGGATACCCCAAGAGTAAAATTTACTTTCTTTTTTCTTTTCTTTAATAGTCTAGGTGATTATAATATAATATTTATTTAGATTTTTTCTTGACCTATTGATATGGTTACTCGAACTCGAATATTTTAAGGAAAATAACATTCATTTGTCTGTGGGAAACAGGGGCTTTGTGGCACAAGGAGTAGTGCAGCATTGATCATAGGTGCAGGTGGGGAAGTAAGCTTTTATGATAAATATCTGGATGAGGGTGTGTGGTTTGAGAGAACCATCGACTATCATCTCCACAAGCTCAAGTAGATTTTGCTGCTCACGTTTTTTAATTATTCGTTGGTCGTTATCGATTTCCTTATTTAGATCATTTACTAGTGAGATAAAGGTGAAGCTTAAAAGATTTGATATTTCATCAAATCATATTATTCAAGCCCTTGCCTTAAATAATCCGAGTATTAAGAATGTAGATTTGTCTGCTTGACGAGACTAATTACTATGATTTTATGAGTTGTTTTTGATTAACTGGCTTCGAAGATCCACCACCCAACCTGCCAACTTAATAATTGTTGACATGAATGCTTGTTGCCTCCTATGCCCACATAATAACCCCCTATATGAAGATTTGATCGAAATAAGCACAATATCTTTTTATTTTATATTATTCATAGTATTCACATCTTTATCGGACAAAAAAACGACATCAAATAAATTTATTGGTATTGATAGCTATTATAATGAAATATGATATGTTGTTTTGTATGATTTTTTACACATGTAATTCCTGTTTCTACTTTCTCTCGAATGAAGTGATATAGAACTCGAATGTATTTCTTTTAGATCCCTCATAAGATGTAAAGTTCCCTAAGATGTATTTCTTTCTTTGAAAGCGAAATCTTCATATTATTTCTGTCCCAATAAATTTACTTAAATATAATTTTATTTGTTGATCCTAAGTCATCCATTCCAAAATTCCAAGTCAATTGTGCATTTAATTCTTCAATATAATTTTGTTAATGTTTACAGCTAACATGTCATCTACTATACATAACAAAAATATAAAAAATCATTTTCATCAAACTTTTTAAAATAAGCACAAAGATTTGTATTGAATTTGTTGTATCCAAAACACACGATGAAATAATCAAATCTCTTATACTATCATACTGGCACATGCTTTGGACTGCATAAATTTGTTTAACATGAAAATCAAATTCCTTTTTATATATTCTAAACCTTAAGGCTCGAGCATATAAATTCCTTCATAACAGGCTCGCTCATATAAGTTATGGGCAATAAACCAAACCAATAGAAATAGGCCCATGTTTACAATTTTAATGCAGGCCTAAAGCCTCATGCGAAAAGATAACCCCAAAATTAAAATTAATAATGAGACCTGTCCTTTTAAAGTTCCTTTAACTCATACTAATGGAATAATTGGTACGTGCCCCTTTCGAATTGATTAACTTATCTCATTTGAATAAATACAAATAAATGATGTCACTTGAAGTGCGTATAGATAATTCCAATAACCACAAATGTCCAATCTTATTACAATTTTCAGCTAGAGGCGTGATCTTTTTAAATTGCATCTCACGACATGATGTTGATAAGTACCAAATTTAAGTTGAGAATAAGTGATTAACGTAAACCGAAGCCGTTTCATCTCCATACTTCAAAATCTCGAACCCTCTTTTGCATTCCGACGCTCAACACGTGTCCTAACATCAGTATCCTCTGTGGGGCCTACACACCGACAATCGCACTCCAACCAGGTCCCACCAGAGACAAACTTATCCCCATGTGTCATCATTTTAGTGGTCGTCTGGTACACACTGATTTAATTTTTACCTTTATGGCGTTTGACTGTCATTTTCCCACCAGCGCATCTCATAGAATAGCTTAAATACTCGCTGTCTTAAGCTGGCAACTTACAGATGTCGGGTGGATAAAGGGAGTGAGATACAGTCAAGTAGCTTGAGAGAGTAAGATAGTTTTAAAACATATTTATTATACAAAGTTTAACGCAGAGGTCGGTTACACTTTAAGGGATGGCGCTCGATTTGCAAACTCGTTTAGCTTCCTTCCGTTTATTTTTTTTTTAAATTACTTAACTGCGTTAGATCCGTGTTCAGTGAGTCGATTGACGCTTTTCACGTACTATATAACCCCATTCTTTCTTCTCTCAGAACCATCAATTTGCAGCCAACTTTGAATTAAGTGAAGTGATACATTAGCCAACTTTGATCGTTTATATTTCTTGTGGTTTAGTTTCTGGTTGATCTGAAAATGGCGGAGCATACCAACGTTGGCGGTGAGCAAGGAGAAGTGGAGAGCAAGGACAGAGGGATATTTGATTTCTTGGGGAAGAAAGAGGAGGAGAAGGCTGAAACTCAACCGGAAACGATGGCCACTGAGTTCGAGAAAGTTAAGATAGAAGAAACAAAGGCAGAGGAGGGACACAAGGGAGACGAGAAGAAGCCCAGTCTCCTCGAGAAGCTTCACCGATCGGATAGCAGCTCCAGCTCTGTAAGTATTTTCATTGTCTTTAATGTTCTAGAAGTTTCCTATATTTGGATATATCATAACATGCTTATGTTTTGTAAATGTGCAGTCTAGTGACGAGGAAGAAGGTGAAGGCGGAGAGAAGAAGAAGCAGAAGGAGAAGAAAGGATTCAAGGAGAAGATCAAAGAAAAAATCGGTGGTGAAAAGAAAGAAGATGACACGGCGGTCCCGGTGGAGAAGTGCGACTCAGAGACGCCGGAGAAGGGTTTCATGGAAAAGATCAAAGAGAAGCTCCCCGTGCAACATAAGAAAGATGAAGAGGTTACCGCACCGCCACCAGCTGCGGCTGTACCAGCCGAGAAAGTAACGGTGGTGCACCATGAAGAAGATTCGAAAGAGAAGGGATTTTTGGAGAAAATCAAGGAGAAGATTCCCGGTTACCATTCCAAAACTGAGGAGAAAGATACCGCTGCTTCCCATTAAAGAGTCGGTACTTCTTATTTGAAGCAAAAAAATGTCTATGGGATTGCCTGTTCTTTTTTGTTTTGGTTACATATTTCATGTTTGTGTCCTTTTTTTATTCTGTTTGCAAGTAAAAAAAGTGTGTTACTCTAGTTAAAAAATAGTAATAATATGTGTAAGAAATTATTATGTATTTCCTTTCTTTTTTAATTATTTTGGATTTGTTTCGCAATGGGCATAAATTAGGTTTATAAACATCTGAATTTAAACGACATTAGTTTATTAAAACATATAGACAATGATGCAAACTCGTACATTTTAAAGGGCAAACTCAGATACTTTATGACAATATAAACGGGACACGAGTGAAAGCCCTGTTATTATTTAGTGAAAGCGTGTATAAATCACTCATTTGTCCATCCATATCACGCATCGGATGCACTTTCCTCCCAGAAGTAATTCAAAGGCTTTGTTGATGTCTTCAAACCTTATATCATGTGTCACAAATTCATCCACCACTAATTCCTGCATTACAATATAACCACTTAAAAAAATAACTAACACTATTTCCGTTCATTCAATGATCTTAAAAAGATATAAAATTAATAGAAACGATCATATAATATATATCATATCTACCTTGTCAGTGTAACGTTTTAGCAGAAGTGGGAGATCAGATTTGGTTTTGACTCCTCCATACAAGGAACCAGTGAGGATTTTCCCAGAATGAAGAACTTCAAAAGAGCTTAAGTTCAACTGTGCACCTGGCTTGTCCACTCCCAAAACAATAGTCTTTCCCCAACCCTGCAATTGCACACAATTGAAGTATATTGTATACATATCTTGCTTGGTGTTAGCAACATTATTACATGTCCACCCAGAGATGAAACAAGGGTAGATCTTAAAATTTCCAAGCCAGAACCTAAACTGATGATAATCTGGGAACATATGCTTTTGCAAAATGTTTAAAGGTATGTGTAGGGACGTATGTGATTGTGACTTTGTCAGAGACATAAAGGAATACCTTTCGACAGCTTGCAAAGGCTTCTTGTACCAAGGATGCTATCCCAACACATTCAAAGCAGTAATCTGCACCTCCTGCAGTCATCTCCATGAGAACCTGCTCAATGTTAAAATGGAAAAGAAAAAAAAGAAGGTAAAATCTACAAGTTGGTAAATTAACCAGTTACTCATGAAGGTTACATGTTCCTCAAAATCTGCTTCTTTTGCTGCACATTTTATTTCAAAACAAATGATTCACAAAAATATTTCTGCTCCATCAAAACTGCTCAAAATGAACCGAAAACTTCAAAATTAACTGAATTCTAAGGCATAAGCAACAACAACAAGACCTGGCTTAAAGATTTGTCCCCACATTCTTTTGAATTGATAAACTCGGTGACTCCAAATTTTTTTGCTGTATATATATGTGAAAGAAGAAACATCAACTAACAAAACCATACAAAACAAGCCATCATTATCATATGCAACTATCACTACTCATATAAGGAGATTTTGGCTGTTTTCAAATAATGAATTACTCACCAACTTCAAATTTATCGGGGTTCACATCCACTCCTATAATCCTACTTGCACCACATAATTTTGATCCCTTTGCAACCTGGGAAACAAAGCAGGCTGTGAATCAGTCTTTCCAGCTTGCAAGCATGGATAGGTATCGTATTGCCAGTGAAACATCAGATCGAGATTATACTGCTAGTCCGATCGATCCGAGCCCGAAGATGACAACAGTTGATCCTGCCTCAACATTTGCTGTTTTGCAAGCCGCACCAACCCCTTAAAAACCAATAAGGAGCTCTTTGTCAGATTTTTTTATCAAACACTTTGCAAACAGGAAATGCCAGCAAGATCAAAGCACAATTACCTGTAGCTACACAACAGCCAAAGAGGCATGCCCTATTTGGAGGGATTGAAGGATCAATCTTGACTACATGGCACACATCAACCACCGTGTACTCAGAGAAACTCGAAACGAATAGGAAATGATATAAAGTCTGTCCTTTAAGGTCAGTGAACCTGCTAGACTCGTATCTAGGCATCCATGGATGGACCTTGAATGGGAATTTTGAGCATAAATTGCTCTGTTTGGAACAACAATCATCACACTCTCCACATTCTGACAAGAAAGTTGGAATGACGATATCCCCTGCTGCTACCTCGTTTACATTCTCACCCACACTCTCCACCACACTGAAACATAATGTCCAAGTTGTAAATTAAATGAAGAATGAATTTTTCCCTTGATTTTGTTAGCAGTATTGTAATATAATCTAAATTATATATTATGAAAAAAAATCACATTACAAAGAATTTAACTGTAAAACTGAATTGAATTATATCTGTTACTATTATATCGAACACGATAGAATTCTTTCCCTTGGGTTTAAATCATAAAGACTGGTTAAATAAAAGTCAAGGTTTTGATGTGATGCAGAGAAATAGCAGGCAAATGTAAAATGCAAGGAAAAAACAGAAAGGTCAAAGAAGAAAACAGGTTCACCCGACCGCCTCGTGGCCTAGGATTCTGGGGAAACAAGCAGGAGGCACCTTCAAAGGATAATTAAATTTCAGGTAAGCAAAAAGAAGGACGAAACTTATAAAAAAAAAGAGCAGAATTCCGTTGAGAAACCTTCAGTTTCCAGAACATGATGTCGCTGTAACAGAGAGATGTGCAGATGATCCGAATTCGAACTTCGTACGGACTCGGAGGAGCCACCATGATTTCCTCTATCACTAGAGGCTCGCCTGCTTCGCGAGAAATTGCAGCTGAAACGGAGAGCAACACTCGGTTTCATGCTTTAACAAAGCAAAGCAAAGCAAAAAAGAAAGGAAAAAGAAAAACTGGGAAAAGTTCGTTGAGAGTTTACCTTTGCACCGAATTGGTTTTCCGGATGTTTCGCTTGGCGATTTGACGTCCGCCATAGTCAGGGAAATACAAAGGCGATGATTGGTTGGTGGAACGGACTGTGCAAGAAGTGAAGCGGCCACTTGACTATTTTTATAGGGTCAAGAAAGTTTGAAACGAGACGAAATCTATTTATAAATTGAATATGTTGATTTATTCTCTTCGCCGATGGTATTTGATATGTGTACTAACAAAACTAATTCTAAAAAGGGTAACTTTTAATAAATTAATTAATTAAATTTTTAATAAATTAAAATTATTATAAAATAGTATATGTTTGAAAAAATTTAACCAATTGCTAACACATTATGCGCAACTCCTCTAACTGATTAGGGGTAAGCAAAACTTGAGTCGATTCGAAAAATTTGATTTTTTTTATATAACTTGAAGAATTTTTAGTAATGGATTGATTTTTAAGTTTGAATTGAATCCTCTACTCTGTATGATACATATATATCACATATGGAAAAAAATGAAGAAATATATATGTATGTATATGATTATAAAACTATTTAAATTTAAATCAAATAATATCGTAATATTATAAATATTTACAATTAAATTTATATAAAAACTCAAAAATAGACCCAACTCGAATTTTATAAACTCAATTTGAATTGAAAAATTCAAGTCAACTCGAGTTATAAAATAGACTCATCAAGTTAAATAACTCAAAATTTTTTACTATACTCGATCAAATGCTCACCTCTGCGTATGACTTCTAAGGAGACTATCATTTTTTCTAAATTGAAACCACTTTATATGTCAAGAAATCGATTTTCTTTATTTTGAAAATGATAATGCACAAATATTAATTAAATAAAATATATCATAAAAGTATAGAAAAATATGGTTTAAATATATCTAGAATCTTAGTCTTTTTCCTAGTTTTGTTTCGATTTTAATGTTAATTGTTGATCTAACATATATAGAAAAAAGGATAATTTTAATTTTAAAATTTCTAATTTTTTTTATTAATTTGATTTTAAGTCTTTAAAAATTGTACGAATCAAAAGGATAATTTAATTTTAAAATTTTAAAATTTTTATTTATTTTATTTTAAGTTTTTTAAAAATTGTATGAATCAACTAATTTCAATAATTAAAGGATTTGTTGTTACCTTTTAAGGTCTCATGTCCAAACACCACATGTGCCACGAGCATGAATATTCATTGTCAAAACACTGAAATATATATTATCTTGTATTTATCTCATATTTATTAAAATAATAAAGATTGAAGTTATCATTAATTAAACAATATAATTTTTCAATTATTTACATTTATTAAAATTGATAAAAAAGTTATTTTATACGTGTAGGAATAAAAAAGTATTTTTCTTTAAGTTAATTGTTTGTTTGATGCATGTATTATAATGAATTTTTTTTAGGTAGTCCTTTCAGTTCCAAGGTTTTATCTTAATCAAATAGGATCAACCCGCGACACACACATAGTTTTGGTAGATGAATCTCTCAACATAGATTTTTTACACACATAAAAATTCAAACTCAAAACCTTACTTCAACAATATTAAATTTCTTACCAATTGAAGCAACATATGTTGATATTATAATGAATATTTCAATTTCATATAAATTATTTTTTCTCTTAATTTTGTACATGAAATTTGTAATCGTAATTATTTATCTACTTTTATCACAAAATCTGATGTGATAGTGACATAGCGTGCCAATAAAAAACATACATGTGACATTTTTTGAAAAATATATATAAGAATTGAATATTTATTTTCTAAAAAATATAAAAAAATATTCATATCAACAAATGAATTTACACAATAAATTTACATAAATGAATTTACATAAATATTTTATTGATTTATCAATTTCACCCTTAATATTAATCACATGGAAAATATTGATTCGTTACACAATATAAACTTAAAAATTTACAATTACGAATAAAGAAACAATAACATAAGGATCAAGATTAATAACCTACTAGGAATTAACCTCACTATATTTATTCCTTCGATTAATAACCTTCGATTAATAACAACATGAAGATTCTTTTACCAAAACCACTCACGGGTCTTCGTCTGTGTGTAGTAAGGAACCAACTGGAATTTACCAAAAGCTCCCATCATATGCAGCTGGAAATTTACACGAAGCTAATGTCCAAAAATTCCCAATCTTTGTCGTGTACTCTTTCATTTGATTTGATATTTTTATATTTGACGTAAAAATTATATGA